ATCATTGAGCCCAAGTTCATGCCAGAGGAAGCCCACAAGTTAAAGCTGCCACCAGCAACCAGCTTGTCTTTCTGAGACTTTCCGAGGAAACCCTGTGGCACTGGCCTTCTGACCATCGTGAAGGCAGTTGCTGCCCAGAGTGAGAAGGGAACATTTTAGTCCTGGCTCTCACATCCTTCAGGAAAGAAGCTTAGTGTGCTGAAATTAGAGGGAAACATTTAAATGTTGTACAGTTATCTTTCAATATGCTAGTGTGTGTGTGTGTGTGTGTGTGTGTGTGTGTGTGTGTGTGTGGCTTGTGCCACCTCAGCATTTTATAATTCTTGTTGTGCTAGAGCCTAGAGCCCTTTCACCACCCTGGAAAGATTTTTGGGGGAGGCTAAGGCCATTTCCTAGGACCTTATTCTTTAATGAAACTAAACTTCAAGGTTGCCTGTTTTGTCTTCTTTTTTCCCCACTGTGGTTTTTCCTTTCCTGAACACAGGTAGCATTGGTTGCCCATGAAATGTTCAGCTTCTGTCAAAGCATTCTGTTCCTGGCAGCTTCTTTCCTGTGCATCCTGAACTGTGCACAGGATTCCACTGAGGAAGGGTCCTGCCCTCCTTCCATCCTCACTGAGGCTCTTCATCTCTCCAGCCTTCTCCAGTTGCTGCTTCTTAATGTCAGAGTCCTGAGCTGTGGAAGGGGTCCAGGGGCAAATTCCAAAGTGCATGGCATCTAGTCTGATCTCAAATCCACAAAGCCAGCTGTCTTCCCATCTTGGCAACAAGTGCTATCCAAATAGTGAGCTGGAGATGCTGTTTGCCCTTTCCCTGACTGCAACAATTTCAATAAGAGACTGTTGGCAATAAACTGGTTCACTCACACATACACACACACACACACACACACACACACACACACACACACACACAAAGAGAGAGAGAGAGAGAGAGAGAGAGGAAGAGAGAGAGAAAGAGAGAGAGAACAAAAAAATTCTCCTTAGAAAGCTGTTCATCTCAAACAAAACGCTATCCCCATTCTACTGATTTCTTTTTTTAGTAGCAAGTTATCAACTGCTTGGGGAAAGCAGATTCATTGTTTCGCTTTTGTAGATAACATTTTATTGTCTCAAACTTGGCATTTATTGAGCTATCTGTGCCCCTCCCTCTGCCATCATGGATGGAGGAGTTTCAGGTAAGAGCCTGAGAGCTAGGGAGGAAGTGATGAATGTGCCAACTTGACCCTGTTGTCCAGAAGTAAGTTCTTGGGATAATAATTGAGGTCATAAACATAATCTTATGTTAGTTCACAAAAGTTTGTCCTTATCCCAATATGGTGTGATGAATATAGTGCTCTCCATGTTATATCTGGGGAAATTGAGCCATGGCAGGTTGATGACAAGAGGGATGTGTGTGTGTGTGTGTGTGTGTGTGTGTGTGTGTGTGTGTGTGTGTGTGTGTGTATTACAGCCAGCTATTCAAGGAAAGATGGAGAGTATGGAATGTAGTGAGTGATGACTTCTATATTATAAATACACTAGTCTCCTCTTATCCAGTGGCCTGCTTTCCATGGTTTCAGTTATCTGTGGTTTACAACAGTCCAAAATATGAACTGGAAAGTTCCCGAAATAAATAGTTCATAGGTTTTTAGTTGTTTACCAGTCTGAGAAGTGTGATAAAATGTGCTGTCACACCCAGCATGGGGATCAACTCCATATCCAGAGTATCCACTGTGTATACACTACCCACTCACTAGTCTTAGGAGCCTGTTGGTTATTCACATAACCCTTCTGATTTAGGTCATTACAAAATAAAGTTTATTCTGACTGGAAGTCCTGGGCTAGGCAGCGACATCTGATGAGGGACTTGCATTGAGTCATAATGTAGTACGATGTAGAAGGGTAGACATTGTACATGGGGGAGGGAAAACATGAAGGATGGAATGATGCTCTAATACCTGCTTTTGCTAGATTGACTCTACTACTATGAGAAACACAGTCTTTGCTCTGACCTGTTAAAGATCCCACTGTCTTCCAGCACTGACACAAAATCAATGCAATCTCATGTCAATCTTAGGAAAAATTGTATTCAACCCATTGAGCCTTCCAAACGGACTTTTTCATCTGTAAAATGGGACCCTGCTCTGTTATTAAAGATGTTGCACTTCTCTAAGGAAAAGAACCCTGGCTTTGGAGTCAGTGGCTTGTGAGCTCATCCTGCCTTAGGAGTTCTGGCAAATTGCCTTTACCTTTATTCCCTTGCTTGGAAAGCGAAGCATTGACTTCATAGGTTAATGACGAAGAGTAACTGAGATAATATTTGTACATCACAGACTCCAAGAGGGTATGCATGAGCATGTGCTTGGCAGTTACCATTAGGTGTGGCACACAGAATTTTACCTTTCCCTTTTGCCCATTCAGATTGAGTACTGAGCTGGTAAGTGTTTAACAACAGCTCTTCCAAAAGCAAAGGCCTGAGTCATAATGTTTTGCCTATTTCTGTGATATAGATATTCTCTTGGGGCTGATTTCAAACTAACTCAGTCACAACCCAGAACGTGGAGCTAGGAAGACACTCATGCTCTTAAACGTGGGTACAAACCCACATCAGCACGCCACTGTTTTTAAAACTGTGCTTTCATGTTTTGCTTTAGAGATAAATTAAGAGAGAGACTACTGAATAGCTAGCATTGTGCCTGGCACATTAGTTTTTTACCCTCTCTGTCTTCTCTTTCACATCCTTGGCCCTTATTACTCTAATCAAATAACACACTGACTTGAACACTAGCTATGTGAAGTGTGTTGTGTGTGTGGGGTGGGTCTTCTGGAATCTACCTCAGCCAGGTAGATATCTTACTTAGCAGACCTTGGACAGACTGCACAGGAGCCCTAAGGTTGGCTTGCTGAGACATAAGCAAGTACACATGCAGCTCTCCTCCTTCACAGGAGACATGCTCAGAGTAGAGCAGTACAAAGCTCAAAGAGTTGCAGAGAGAATACAAGAAAATTTCCTATTGATGAAGGGCCTAAGGAGAATATACATTTAGGAGATCATAGCCAGGAACCAGCTAGGAACGGTGCCTGCTGTAGGGCTGAGTCCCTGGCCTCCCCCATGGGGAGTGAAGAATTTTGCTCCCTAACACAGGATAACAGTGCTGGCTCCATGGCCATAGAAGCAATAGGGCTGTCTGGGAAAGGCATGCAGAGCATGCATTTACTGAAAAGCCAGCCTTTGGGCTGTTCATCCTTTGGGTGGTTAGCTGCTTATAGCACGAAGAGCTCAGCCTGTCCTTCTGAAGTAGAATTTGGGGAAACTATCATGTGTCATATGTTGGGGTAGGGGTTCACAGTTAAGATACAGACTGAATCTGGTAACTGGGCTGGAGCATGAGCGATGTATAGCAGAGGCAACCTTCGTGCATGTATTGTCAGAGCCCAGTGACTCACCTGGAGCCAGGCAGTAAAGAGGTTGGCGGTGCAGTCCTCTGGGCCCTCCTGATGCTCCATGGACATGAGAATCGGCCTTTATTGTTTGACTGTTTTATTGAGATGTAATTTGAATACCATATAAATCTCCCATTTAAAGCACGTCAGTCCACATTTTCAGCGTCTTGCAAGTGTTCCCGGTGGCAGTCTTAGGAAATTTCCATTGTCCCCAGTAAGCCCTCCACCTTAAGATTTAGTTATTTGTCTGTGTCGATTTGCCTGTTTTGGACATTTCCCATATGTGGGAACATACAGAGAGAACATGTCTTGCCTCCTTTTTATGTCTGCTTCCTTCTCCTTGGATGTTCTCAGGGTTTGTCCATGTTGTAGTATAGCTCATTCCTGTTTGTAGATGGACAGTATTCTGTATTTCGTTTATCCATCCATCACTTGATGGACATTTGGATTTCTACTTTCAGCTTGTTATGAAGAACACTGCTGTGAGCTCTCGTGTACAAGTTGTATGTAGACAAAGGCATTATGTCTTAGGTGAATGTTCCACACTGATTTCTTTCTTTCTTTCTTTTTTTTTCTTCACAGTAGCTGTCTGATTGCTTTATATGTCTGCTTCAAAACACCCAGTAGCTTCCCTTTGTTCTTAATATCAAGATCAAAATCCTTACCTTGGTTCACACAGCTATAGCTTCTGGGCCCTTGACAGCTTCACTCCAATCCCCTCCTTGTTCTGTCCAAACCAAGAGAACAAGGGCTGCCTCCAATGTCAGAACTTCCATTCTTGGCTTAATGTTTGAACCCCCCCCACACTAGAGGGGTTTCTGCAGCCCCTCATGCTAAGGCCTCAGCTTACACCCTCCTCTTCGGATGGGACTTACCTGTCACTCTTTCTAAGACTTCATACAACTTATTCCAGCAACCATTGTCACCACCACCACCAATGACATCCAGTGTGGCAATCTGTTTTGTGTCCGTCTTTCTGCCACTATAAGACACAAGAGAACAGCAACCTCATCCCCCTCCCTCCCGCCCCCCCCCCCCCCGCTTTCCCTGGCACCTAACACAGTACCAGGCATATTCAGGCACTCAGTAATTATTTATTAAATGAACAGTAATGAACTCAAATAATGATGGTGGTGAACAGGCCACTCATTCAGAAGACCCCATTGCCCTGAGGTTTCTTTCCCCCTGTTGAGGCTAAGTCGGCCACCCCAGCTCTGTTCTCCTCTGCTCATCTGGGGGAACCGCTGTAATACAGAGTAAGTAATGGAGAAACCCCTCAATCCTACAATAAAGGCTGAGCTGTGGCTTTGTCTCTGTCATTCCCCTAGTCTGTGACCAGATTGGTAGGTATCACAGTAGCTTCCAGGAGTGGTTACTGCAGGATGGGTTTCTGAAGGCCTTTGCTTCTCTGCAGGTTGGATAGCTAGCTGTGTAGTGACAAACTGTGCTCTCTGTAGTAAATGGTGGATTTCCTATATGTGTCTTGCAAAAATCTGTCCTTGGAAGAAATTCCAAGAGGAAACTGTACACCTTCTGAGACTTAAATGCTTTGTGTCTCCCCCCCCCCACCCCACAGATATGCACTTGTTTGGCCATTATCCAGCACATGATGACTTCTACCTGGTCGTGTGCAGTGCCTGTAACCAGGTCGTCAAGCCACAGGTCTTCCAGTCACACTGCGGTAAGTGGATCTCCTGCACTGGTGGATGCATGGGCAGCCATTGACCCTGGGCTCCCATCTGGGTGGCCCTGTGTCTGTCTCAGTCCAAGGCTGTGGGCATACTGGCCTGGAGCTGCTGCCTCCGCACACAGAGGAGCTGTTAGGAGCTCAGTCCTTTTGCTCACATGCTCCTTCCTGTCAGCCCAAACAGGAGAAAGTCTAAGCCTTAGCAGATAGGACAAATCTGAACCGGTTGTGTACCTTGGTGGTGGCCTCTGCTAGTGACCAAGAGGATGGTGGCTGGAGGAAGCACTTCACTGCAACCTGCCATCCCCACCCCCAAGGAGGCCCATGGGAGAGACTCCCCAGATTTGTATACACAGGGTAGGGCTGGAGCCACAGGTGGCCATTGTGTATGGCCTTGAATGCTGTTCCCAGGATGTAGATAAAACCTCCCATCCTGCTTGTCCTTTCAAGAATCCCTCTTACTATGTTTTTAAAGTGTGCTTAAGAACTCATTTTCCCTGAGTACCTGAGCATCCTGGCTATGGGGCTATGAGGAATTCCTTGACTCCATCAGCAGCAGTCTGTGTATTCCACTCAATATTGGTGGACACGAGGACGGAGAGAAGTCATGTGGCCGCTCCCAAACACCTCTCTGACCTTAGACAAGAAGTCATCTACTCTCTTTGGGTGCCTATTTCCTTAACTTAGCCAGGAGTTAGAGCAGACAATTTCCACAGCTGTCATGTGCTATGTGAGTCCAGGGCAGTATATTCCAGTCTTATTTAACCATGACCCCTTTGATGAACAGGACCTGAATGCCCCTCTGCTGTTGTTTCCAGAGCATATTCAATATTATACTTGAACAAAAGAAGCAATTATAATGTTGAGTGTGCTTTTGTAAACTATACACATTTCCCCTTCCTCAGTGTACTCTGACTTCCCCTGTCCCTTTTAGTATTACCAGCTGTGATAAGTAGTCATGAAACAAAAGAATTAGATGTGTTTGGGACAGTAGACTAGCCAAGCATTGTTAATATGTGTCTATGATATCTTCATATAGATAAAAGCTGTGTGCCAACCGTAGGTGTGGTTTATGCTTATAATGAGTAGGCAGAGAATCTGTGCTTTGAGGGGCGGGGCACTGTCTTGCATTAGTTCAAGGCTGTGGCTGGGAAGAGAAGGAATTCTATGAAATACTGTACAAAGGCTCTGATGAGAGGTGGGATCCAGCTCTGTATTTCTTTGTCTCTTCCATGAGGAGGTGACTTACGTGTGCACGTACATGTTGCCATGGTCATTTCTGGCACTGTGAGCATAAATGGAGTGAGCATGCATCCAGCACAAGCTGTCCTTGTTCATTGTCCTGTAGCAAATGAACCTCTTCTGGCTGGAAGGAAAATAAGGTCACACCTTTCTGAAAGGAGACTGTGAGAGGCCCAGCAGTGATACTACTAACTAAGGCTACAGGTAAACCATTAAAAGTGTGGCAGTGGCAAGGAGGTCCCACTCAGCCTGTCATTCAGTGAAGATCTGAGGGACATTGTTCTGTGTGTTTGATGAGCATGAGGGCTCCAGCCTGTGCTAATCGCCCAGTCATTCCTAGGGCTGTGCTGCTGCTGGGGGCATTCAGGTGCTGCAAGTGAACACAAGGGCAAGTCCCAGCCTGGGAAGGCTGACAGTTGTAAGCCTGAAACTACAAATGGGGATTTAGCTTGCCAGCAGTCTTTGATGGAAGGACCCTGAAAGGGATGAGGATGTCACTGCCATGCAGATGCTACCTCAGGGAAAGGACTCCTCTCACCAGCAGAGGAGGCGTGGTGTAACTGATACCACAGACTCTGAACCCTTAGGCTTTCGGTGGTGGTTCTGGGACTCAACCCAGGAAGAAAGCCAGTGACATGGTGGCCACCTGTTCCGAACAGAAGCAGAAAATTAGTTTGGAGCTTTGGGGTTACTGACCGAATCACTTGGAGCCCGGGCTGCACTGAGCTTTTTGCTGAATCAGCTGACAAACAGCAATAGGGACAGATCCATAACTCAGCAAATGGAGGCAAAGTGTCACTTATCCTCCAGCTGTGTGTTCCAATAATTCAAAACCAGTATTTCTCAGGGACCAGAGAGAATGCAAGGTGCAGCCCAGAGCTATGGCAAGTCTTTGGCGGTGGGGGAGACCAGTTTTTTTGTTTTGTTTTGTTTTTGCTTTTTGTTTTGTTTTGTTTTTTTCCCTAAGCTCTCAGAATGCCTCCTATTCTTTTGTGATGGTGCTTGTCAGTTCAGGCTGCCATACCAGGCTGGATTGATTATATAAACAACAGAGACTGATTCCTCCCAGTTCTGGAGGTTACTGCCTAAGGTCAGGATGCCAGCATCAGATATTGGTGAGGGCTGTCTCCTACACAGCTGCCAGTCATCTTCTTACTGTATTCTCATGTGGCAGGAAGAGGCAAAGAGCTGCCTGGAGCCTCATTTATAAGGATGAGTCCCATTGTTGAGGTCTCCGCTCTTGTGATGTGACTGACTCCCAAAGGCCCCACCTTCCTGTAACACCATCTTGTATTGGGTGTTCGGAGATGGGGGAGAAGCATTCAGTTGTAACGGTGAACATGGGCTGGAGTTGTAAGTCAGTTGTGAGCACTTCCCTGGCATCTGAGACCAAGTTTGATCTCCAGACTCAACACAGCACATCACTACTTCTTCCTTGCCTTCTGGCTTTACCTTGTGTGATGAGCCCTGCTGTTTTCAGTAAGTTAATAAGAGTGCCATTGTGCTAAATGCTGGGCAGTGTGCCAGGCTCTTTGCATATCTTTGAAAACACAGCCCTTTCAGCAGCCCTGGGGAGTGGGTGTGAATGTTATACCCATTTTGGAGTTCAGGAAGCTGGAGCTTAAGAGGTTGGGTGCTGTGGGCAAGGTCTCAAAGCAAGACAGGAGAAGGCCTGGTTTTGAATGCAGGTGTCTTCTCAGAGCCAGTGTCCTCACAGTCTGTCTACGTGCAGGTCCATGCACGTATGAATATGGGTGGAAAGTGGGTTGTTGGGGGAGAAAGCAGTGCAGGACCTCCAGCCCCACCCACTAGGCCTTCTCTGACTCCCCCCCCCCCCCCCCCCCCCCCCCCGCCGCACTACCAGAGCGCTGTAGTGTCATTTAAATGTGTTCATATATTGGAAATAGCAGGCTTTGGAAACAGGCAAAATGATTGTGCAACTGCTCCTGCTGAGTGTGTGACCTGGGCCACTTCACCTTTCTCTACCTCAGTTGGTTCATCTATACAATGGACACGGCCTACTTTGTGGACCTGTGGGGACAACATGACACATGACTGTGTCACTTGGAGTTCATTTCCTCCTCCCTTTCTACATTGGCCCCAATGGCTGGATTTGTGGGGGAAGTCCTCCTTTCTAATAGCCACAATCCCTGTTCACTTGCCACCTCTTGCCATGCAGTTATCTGGGGTTGGTCTCTGCTGTCAGTGCTAGGAATATTCCTTTGTCCTTCTGCATCCCCAGAACCCTCACAATAAAGCTGTCTTGGATGCATGTGGACATTCATGATCACAGTATACAGGCTACTTAATCTAAATTGAAAAATCCAAAGTGCGTTTGTGTTCTCTGGACATGTGTGGATACATGTTTCTGTATGTGCACACATGGCAGTGGTTGTGGGTACTTGCCTAAAACTGGTAGAGGAAAACTCTCTTACTCAGTAGTTCCCACACCTGATAATATGCTTTCCACACCAAGCACGATTTAATCTGATTCCGACCGTTTCCATCCAATGTAAGCGTAGACCCACAAGTTAAAAGTTCTGCCCATACAAGTGTCTTCTATTTTAGATGACAATCACAGATAATGGTCACAGGGTTACTCATACTTTTGTTTGACTTGGGGATCCCACTTTGCTGTAATGACTCACAGAGTTCAGGGAAGCAGTTTGCTTGTATTTACTCTGTTATTATAACAAACAGACACAGTCTCTATTTTTTTCTGAGACAGGATTTCTCGGTGTAGCCCTTTCTCGGTGTAGCCCTGGCTGTCCTGGAACTAGCTTTGTAGCCCAAGCTGGCCTTGAACTTGTTATTATAACTATTAATGCTATCACAAAGAATGTGACAAATCAGATTAACATGTAGAAATTCGTAGGGTGACGTTAGAGGTCCTGAGCACAGGCACTTTTGTTGTTGTAGAACTGAGACGTACCCTTAGTAAGTGGATGCTCTGATCCTCCCAGATTGTCTCAGCTCTCAGTCTGTAGAGGTGCCATCGCACACCGATTCAAAGCACTGGGCTTGGCTGTGCATTTCAATCTTCGGCTCTGGTTGAGTGGGACTAAAAATTACGATCTTCTGTTCTGATCTTTCTGCTTGTGTCTGGTCCTTCTGAGCACCAGCCCTTATCCCAAAGCTGTCTAGAGTCTTAGTCACCTCATCAGCATGTACACGGATGCTTATTCCAGAAACCCCAGGGGTTCTAGATGTTCCTTATCAAGAAACTGGAGGCTAGAAACAAGCATAACAAAAAATGACCCCCACACCCTGTTTGTCACCTGTCACCAAGGAAGTAACTAATTTAAGCATCTGCCAGGAACTTGAGACAAAGACCAAATGTGTTCATATATATATATATATATATATATATATATATATATATATATATATATATAGTCATTAAGGGAAATCATTTAGTTGTGGAGGTTAAAATCCTGACTCACGCTTACCTGTGAAGCCTTGGGCTAATTACACTGTCTTTCTTTCTGAGCCTGGTTCTCCTCACCTATGAGGTCAGAAAGCCAGTTCCTGCCCTGCGGAGTTACTGCAAGGAAAGGAAAAAGGATGTATGCTGGCATGGAGTAAGGAAATAAAGGTTAGCTTTTATTGTCAATAAAATGTGGCCCTTTTTTATGAAGTTGAAAGTTTCTTATGAAAAATGGCAAAACCACTTTAGCCAAGTGCTTCCTGCCTTTGCTCCCTGCAGTCTCAGGGGATGCCACTCAGGGTCAGCCTGTGGCTTCTGTGATTCA